GGGAGGCCGTTTTTTCTCCACCGCTTTTCCTTTTCTAAACTTACCGACCTCCCCACTTCCACGCCGCTAGGATGCGCCGGAGGGGACGCCGGCCCGCAAGAGCCGATGGAGCCCATTTTTGCCCTGAGCAGAGGGAGACTGGGGATTAGGAATGAAGTCCTCGCCTGCTCAGGAGCCTGGTTGGTCTTCCATGTTCCCATCGGACCTAGCTTTGTCACGCGGTCATGTGGCACTGTTTTTGTGTTCGTGCCCCAGCTTCTAAACGGCGTTTGCCTTGACCCCGCACTGAGCACGCTCTCGGAGGCCTTGGGGCCGGGTTGCCCGCTTCGAATCTTGGCGCCGCCGCTGTGTGACCTGGGCGGGGTATTTAGCCTAATGCGCCCGTCTGTGGACCAAGAATGATAGCGCTCCGCCACTGATGGCGCGGTTGTAAGGGTTCAGTGGAGCATACTGCTTGAGAAATGTTAGCTGCCGTTATTATTTGAGCCCCGGCACGTGTGGCTCAGTTGGTTGGGTTGCGGACTCGATCCCGGTGGGGGTGGGGAGCGCCTGCCCGAGGCAGCCGGTGGTTGTACCGCTGTCACGTGGATGCCCCTCTCCCCTCCTTCTAAAACTCCTTAAAATCTATCATCTGTCTATCTATCTATCTATCTATCTATCTATCTATCTATCTATCTATCTATCTATCTATCATCTATCTATCTATCTATCATCTATCCATCTATCTACCATCTATCTATCATCAAGACTACCTAATGGACTTAAGTCACCCCACTCCCATTTCTAGCTCAACAGATAACTTTAGTGTTTAGTACAAAACAAAGATGATTCTTTTGCATATAAATGACACCAAGGTATTTTGTTTTCAATCTCTTTCAGGTTGTTTTACATAGATTGACCCATGACTTGGTAAACTTAATATCAGTGGCTCTACCAGTAGTAAGTCAGGGAATCCTACCCATAGTTTACTATCTAATCTAAAAGGAATCTAGTCACAAAACCGGGAAAAGGAAGTTGATGTGTTTAAATCGATCAAAGGCATTTTTGGAAAGAAAGGAAACAAGTTCTGTTTTAAGGCCTAGTAAGTGTGTATGTCATTTTCAAACATTCTGACAATAACTGAAAAGATTGAAAGTCTTCTAAAGGTGAGAATGAAAGGCTTTGGTAATTTTTTAGAAAGAGGCCTTAGAACTAAATTCTGCATTAGCTCTAGAAGTAAGCATTTGTGCCTTTAAAATTGGAAATTCCATGTGGACCTTTAGAAAAGTAGGGACTGAATTGGTACAGAGATAATTGTTGAAGATCAGTTCTGCTTCAAAATGGTCCAGCTGAATCCCTAAGTAATTTTTTTTAAATAGCACATTGTGGGTGGAGTTGATGTGTTTTGTGGAACTGACTGATTTCCTTTCTCTGGCAGAAAGCACTAGGTGGGGACAGTGCGGTGAGGCCCTTCCAGAGCACTGCAGCAGCCTGTGCACCGGTATCACATTATCGGACTGTTAAAGGTGTGGACTCAAGTGAAGAGAGTTTTTCTGATTCAGATGATGATAGCTCTCTCTGGAAACGCAAGCGACAGAAATGCTTCAACCTCCCTCCCAAACCAGAGCCTTTTCAGTTTGGCCAGAGCAGCCAGAAGCCGCCATTTGCTGGAGGGAAGAAGGTTAACAATATCTGGGGTGCTGTGCTGCAGGAGCAGAATCAAGATGCGGTGGCCACTGAACTTGGTATCTTGGAAATGGAAGGCACTATTGACAAAAGCAGACAGTCCGAGACCTACAATTATTTGCTTGCTAAGAAACTTAAGAGGGAGTCTCAAGAACAGACAACAGAATTAGACAAAGAGCTAGATGAATATATGCGTGATGTCAAGAAAACAGGCTCAAAGGAAGAGGAAAATGGGCAAGGTCATCTTAAAAGGAAACGACCTGTCAAAGACAGACTAGGAGACAGACTAGAAATGAACTATAAAGGCCGGTATGAGATCACAGAGGATGATTCTCAGGAGAAAGTGGCTGATGAAATTACTTTCAGGTGAGCATTTAAACTTTTCCTTGCAATGAGCACCTGACCAACTATCTTCCATTTAAAGGAAATAAAATAGATTCCAAATGCATTAATGATAATAGTACTTTTTAAGATTTTTTAAATTTAAGGAACAAACTCTGGTCTTATTTGGTTGTATGGATATATTTGGATTTTATTTTGGACAGGCTGATAGAATAATTCTGCAGACTTTTATGAACTTATAAGCAGTTCTTTCCGTTTAGTGCTATAGAGCTCTTTATATAAAAACATACCTTTTAAAATTGTGTGGGTTTTTTTTCCCCAAGCATTCATGACTTTTTTGTTACTTAATTGAAGCATATTGTACATTTGATGAAATTTACCCATTTTCAAGTGTTGATATTTTTTTAAAATGTATCAGTTGAACAACTCTCACCATAAACCACTTTTAAAGCATTTCCATCACCCCAATAAGATCCCTCATATCAATATGCCCGTTTAAAGGTAACCCCTGTTCCCGTCTCCAGATAACTGCTAATCTTTCTGTAGTTACAAATTGCATTTTCTGGATTTTTCATATTAATAGAATTACACAATGAGTGGTTTATTATACACACACATATGTGCATACCTATATTGAATGGCTATTCCACCTTTTGGCTACGCTGGAAAATGTTAAGACTTAACAGCCAGATCTTTGGACATGTATTTTCACTTTTCTTGGGTAAATACCTCAGAGTAGAATTGCTTGATGTAAATTAACATTTCATGTATTTTTAGTTCAAATTTTGTTTAACTTTTCATTAGCTCTAAATCACTAATGAACAGTGTCACAGATTTGAAAACAAATATTGTTCAAGAGTAAAATAACTGGTAGGAAAACAAGTGCTTACTCTCCAGGCAAGCCTGTCAACACTAGTGCTGGATTTTTAAACTACTGAGGAAGCTTGGAAAAGTGTCAGGAAACGTGTCCAGGAAAAGACCTGGAACTAAACTGTGGTCCCTTTGTTCCTAGTCTAGTGCTCTTTGCACTGCCTCCTATTGAGAATAAATAAGGGGAGCCAGGTATAGTTAGGGAACTGGTAAGACTCCTGCAGCATTAATCCTCCTTCACTCTGTGGAGTGTGGGCTGACATTACAAGTGTTGCTTAGGCTCCTGATGTTTTTATTTCTGGGTGGTAAAGTGAAAGTCATAGTACCTATTTCCTAAGGTTGTTGAGAGAATTAACTGAGATAATGCATGTAAAGTTCTTAGGATTGTGCTTATCCTATAATAAGCCTCAGCAAATATTAGCTATATCCTTTTGTTCTGAAGTGGGGAGCCTGTCAGGGAAAATTCCTATCCATTTTAAAGCTCCCAGATATCTCTGAAGTTAGGAGAGCTGATTTTCAGGCTTAATAATTGAAAGCTAGTGTATGTAATTTGTTTTGACAGGAGTGGACTGGTTTTATCTTTTGTGTTTAGGCTTGCATTCTCCTTGGTATATATGCACATTTACTTTGAAATCCTCCGTAATCCAATAAAACAGAGTGAAGAGGCCAGTCATGAGACTTGAGATGGAACCTTGAGGTGCCTACTCCTTGGGTGACCCAAGATAGGAATGTCTCCATGTCACTGATTTCAAGGTTAAATACGGAAGATTTTGAAAAGCAAATGCTATTAGAATAGGATTTAATTCTAGTTGAGGACTAAATTGGAGACTAAGGTAGATTTCAACTTTATACAAGAAATGAAGAAGTTAATATTTCTTTATTTGTCCTTTATCAGGTTGCAGGAACCAAAGAAAGATCTGATAGCCCGGGTAGTGAGTATAATTGGGAACAAAAAGGCCATTGAACTTCTGATGGAAACTGCTGAAGTTGAACAAAATGGTGGCCTTTTTATAATGGTAAGTCTAAGAGCTTCATTGTTTCTGTTTTGAATTGTGCTTCATATAATTTTTTTACAAAACAAGCTTGTCTCTGATTATTGGGTCATAAATTTGCTATAAATTATTGGTTTGAGATTTTAAAAAACTTTATTAACAATGAAAACTGAACTAAAAATTATTGTCAGTTTTGATACTTAGAAAAAACATATGTAATTTGTAGCCTTTTAGTGTGCAGACACTAACCCGGAAGCTCAGATTTTAAAAATATGGGTTTTGGAGTTAGGGGGTCCTTGTTTTGAGTTCTGGGTCTGCAACTTATTAGGTGTGAGGTTTGACTAAATTATTTTACATCTGGGAGCCTCAGTCCCCTCACCTGTAAGAGGACGATTAATCCTGTGTTGTGGGGATTAGATCACAATGCCCAAGTACTTAGTTAGCAACAGTGAGCAGAAGGGTTACTCTTGGTATAATTCATGCATTCTTGAAAATTGGTTCTTGGGGACAAAAGGAAAAAAACCCTTGTTTTGTAAAAAGCACAATAAATATATAGTATATCTGTGAGTATTAAATTTCATGGGTGTTGGGGGTGAATAGGAAAAAGAATGTCTAAAGGCTTCTGCTGTGTGGGAAAAAATTATGAGGAAAAAGGTTTCATAATGGTAGGAAGAGCACTCCTGTGGCTGGGGCCAGATCCCAGGCAGTGGCAGTTTATCCCATAGAATGATTTTGTAGATTTCACTTAATTCAGCTTTCACCTCCAGGTGAGGGTGAAGTTTAAATGGCTTCCTCCTTATTTGCTCCTTGGAAATCGGAATGATGACATCACAAGGAAGTAAATCAGTGAATGTGTGCTGTGGAAACCAATTAGAATTGATAGCACCAGCTGAGGAAACAGCCTGTGGACATAGATTACCAAAGTCAAAACTGAAACAAATTGTAGTAGTCATGAGTGTACTGGCCCCATTTGTGTCATTGTTGAAATACTTTGATTTTCATTTAGTTGAGCACAGATTTATAGGTTCATCAATGTTTTAATTCTATAGTAATATAATAAAACTTCATATTCCGGTTGAGCTAATGCAAATCTGTTGGGAAGATGGAAGTCCAAATTCATGCTCTTTTGATGCACTTTCCTTTTATCACTACGTGCCCAGCACTGTGTTAACATAGGAAGCTTATGTTGTAGTGGGGGTGGGAGGGAGACAACCTATAAAGAATAGAGCATCTTCAAGTATATTAGAAAGTGGTAAGTGCTATGGGAAAAGAAATAGATCAAATGTAGGTAGAGAGAGGAGAGGAGGGCATTTCAGTTAAACTGGAGTGGCCAGGGTAGACTTTATTGTCGCCTTAGGCACATCTCAGTTTAAAAGATACTTTGGCCAGCATGGCTCAGCGATTGAGCATCGACCTAGGACCTAGGAGATTGCCCTTCGATTCCCAGTCAGGGCACATGCCGGGGTTGCGGGCTCAATCCCCAGTATGGGGCTTGCAGGAGGCAGCCCATCAATGACTCTCATCATTAATGTTTCTATTTCTCTCTCCGCCTCTCCCTTCCCTTCTCTGAAATCAATAAAGATATATATTTTTTAAATAATAAATATATATATATTTTTAAAAAGATACTTTGGCCATTTCTGGGAAGAGTCTATACAGTATGTTTTTCCTGTTTCTTTTGTAGAATGGTAGTCGAAGAAGAACACCAGGTGGAGTTTTCCTGAATCTCCTGAAAAACACTCCTAGTATCAGTGAGGAACAAATTAAGGTAAAAATGATAATGTTCTTGACTTTTAAGATCCATAATAATTTGACTTCCACTCAGGCTCTAGCTTCATTTTCTACTAATCTTTATCGCCTGCTCTGCTTTAAATTGGACGATTTTGTCATAGTCTCATTTCAAGCGAAACTTGTGCCTTTTGTAAAGCTCTACCTCTTTTTCTTCCCTTTCAGAGCCAAGACCAAGATTTCTTTTATGGCAACTTTTCCTGATTTCTTAGCACGTAATTATTTTCTACCCTCCTACAACTTTTATTATTAAAAAATTTTAAACATGCAGAATAAATGAAAGAATGGAATGAGTACCCATGTGTCCTCCACTTAGATTCAGGGGTTGCTGATAGTTTAACATTACTACTTTACAATTTATTTTTGTACTGTTTGGAAGTAAGTAACATCATGACCCTCATCCCTAATTATTTCAACAGACTTCTCTCAGTAATAAGGACAATATTCTACATAGCCATACTTACGAGAAATAAAACAATTTCATAGTTTTGTCCAATTTCTAGACTTCAATATCCTGAATTGTCCCAAGAATCTTATTTTCAACCCTTTTCTCCCCAAAACATGATTCTGTCCAGATTTTCACATTCCATTTGTTATATCTCTTTTGATCTTTTTAGTCCCACATTTTCCTCCATGATTTAGACCTTTGAAGAGTCTTCAAGAGTGTACTACATTCTTGTGATTGTCTTTTCATGGGTTTGTTTTGTTCATCCCTCTATCTCCAATATTTCTTATAAACTAGAAGCTAGGCACTTCAGTATTCTTAATCATTTTTGTGTTAATAGAATGTCTCATATGGGAATTCTACAACGTGGGTGTTTCATAGCTCAAAATTTGATATCTTTCAATTTGTTAATTAAGGAACATGATTTTTTTCAGCAGGTATAATCAAGAGTTAACTTCTTACATTGGAAAAATGTGTGCACAGGGAACATAGCTGCTATATTTGAGAAGGGTTGTATTCTCATTATTATAGTGGGTGATAAAAGTAATAAGAATATGTTGTAGCCATACTAATTATAATGCTAATGATGACATAAATAAGAGCCATTTTTCTTGAACTGATGTGAGCATATTTTGCATCTGTTCCATGTTGGGGGTTTTTTCCTTAGGTTTTCTGGCTGTTCACTTCCCGGTCACATTTCAAAGCTCTGTTATTGAAATTGCTACAGGGAATGTTACTGTTGTTGCAGATTTGAAATCTCTAGTTAGTAACTGCTTTTTTTTCCTTATAGGAACAATTAGTTTTATAACATAAATCTGTAACAATATAAATTTCCTTAGGAACACAACTATTGAGAGGTAGAACAGTTGTACCTTAATGTTTTCCTACCTCCCTCACAGGTATAATCCCTGACAGTGTGTACTTAGAAGGAACATTCTTGAGTTTTCATTAGATAGCAAAATGTCAGTCTTTTCAGAGAAATAGCATGATATGATGAGTAGAATTCTCTAAGATTCAAAATGTGGGTTTTAATCTTAAATTTGCCATTTAGCAGTTATATGACCAGGAGCAGGTCACTTACTCTCCCTTAGCCTCCATTTTCTCATCTGTAAAGTGGGGACTTTAATAGGTGCTCTGCCTAATTGAAAGACCTTAAGGGGGATTAAATAAAAGATCTAGAAAAGCTTTCTGTAAGTAACTAAACCTTGGGCAAAGAATTTCCAGAAGCAAGAGAAAAGAAAATAGCACTTATTCACCCTTAGCCTGGATTAGACCAAATATTTATATGGCTTAGTCTTTACCACAGGCTGTCAAAGTGGGTGTTACCCTGTTATGCAAATGAGTAACAAAAATGATGTGCCTGGGATCACACAGACACTGGCTTCAAACCTATGTTGTTTTCACTAACATGTCTTTGAAGTTCAGTTCTTCCGACTTGTACAGAAGGGGATTTTAATGTTAGGTTTTTATGTTAAACTGTCAGAAACACTGCATTAAAATAACAAACAATAGAAATATTTAGAATATCTAGTAATAGGGGAATGTTGACTTATAGGGCCATTCTTAAAAGGACTATGCTATAACCTCTTGTGAAGCAATTTTAAGAAAATGAAAAAATGCAATAATACTGAATTTTTTTTAAGAGGCAAAATACAAATTTATAAAGAAAAAAAGGCATGGGACAATAGTTTGGTATATAAAACATCAAAATGTTACAGTGATTTGATCTTTTGTGAGGGATTATAAATGTTTTGGCTTTTAAGATTTCCTCTGCTTTTCCAAATTTTGTGTATGTGCATGGATTGAGTACCTTTGTTATTAGAGGAAAAAACCTGAAGGCAAATAGAATTTTATTGCAGGTAATTTCATATGCCATCCAGATAATGATGATGTTATAATTATTCTTTTCATCACTATATTGCTAACAGTCACAGTCTGCAAAACTTGGAAGCCAGAACTAAACTGAGTGGGCTTTCCTTTTTTGCATTTGATTTTGTTTTGTATGTGGCCTTGTACTTTAATTTTTGTTTTAAAAAATACAAAGTCGGCCCTGGCCAGTGTAACTCAGTTGATTGGGCATTGTCCGTGCACTGAAAGGTTGTTGGTTCTATTCCTGATCGGGGCACATGCCTCAGTTGCAGGCTCGATTCCCAGTTGGAGGCGTGCAGGAGACAGCCAATTGATGTTTCTCACTCACATTGACGTTACTCCCCCTCTCTTCCTCTCCCTTCCTCTCTCAAGTCAATTTTTTCAAAAAATCAGTAAACTATTCTTTAAAAAAGAAAATAGTCACAAAGTCAGATAGATGCTGCTAAACATTCTACAATACACACAGGAGACTGCCACAACAAAGAATTATCCAGCTCAAAATTTCAGTAGTGCCATAGTTGAGAAACCCTATACTAAAAGGATCTCATATTTTCATGCTATAAAGTCCTTTTTCTGGCATCCTGTGCTATTTTTATGCCTGTGATAAAAGTTTTTGACAAAGATTTACATTGTTACATGTGAATTACAGTAATTTTATTTATTTTAATCCTCATCCAGGGTATGCTCATTGATTTTTAGAGAGAGGGGAAGGGAGAGAGAGAAAAACATCAGTGTGAGAGAGAATATCAATTGGTTGCTTTCTGTAAATACCCTGACCAGGGATCGAACCTGCAACCTTTCGGTATATGGGACGACACTCCAACCAACTCAGCCTCACCAGCCAGGGCTACAGTAATGTTTTTTAAGCGATGGAGTTGTTCTTGCATTATGTAAGTTACATTATCATACTTGGTCACACAGTTCAGGAATGGCTCAGTTTCTTAGCACATTGTTATTGATGATATTTCAAAGTAAATCTTTATTCCAAAGACTTCTGTTTTATTGTGATGAATTATATTTCTATTTTTGTTTTTTAAGATTTATTTTAGAGAGGAAGGGAGAGAGGCATGGGGAAACATTGATGTGAGAGAGAAACATCAATCTGCTGCCTCTACACAAGCCCTACTGGGGGCGGGGTCAAGCCTGCGACCCGGGCCTGTGTTCTGACCAGGAATCAGACCCAGTGACCTTTTGGTTCATGGGATGATGCTCAGCAAACTGACCCACTCCAGCTGGGCAGTATTTCATTTAAATTCTAAACGACATGGTTTTTCTACTGTATCTTTCCATTTAGAAACCTTTCATTTTAGAGATATGTGTTATGGTATAATATGCATGGGCCCTGGACCTAACACTGTGTTGAAGCATAGCTTCATCTTTTTCTTGCAGTGGAGACTTATTTAATGTCTTGGACTCTGTGTCTAATTATGAGTCTAATAATAATGGCTTGTTTTTTTGTGAAAAATAAAGATAATGTAAAGGGTCTGCCGTTTTTTTAAAAAATTTTTGAATGTTTTTATTGATTTCAGGGAGAGGGAGGGAGAGAGAGAGAGGTAAGAAACATCAATGATGAGAGAGTCATTGATCAGCTGCCTCCTACATGGCCCTACTGGGGATCGAGGCCAAAACCTGGGCAGGTACTCTGACCAATACTCAAACCATGACCTCCTTCCTGGTTCATGGAGTGGATGCTCAACCACTGAACCACACTGGCTGGACAAGGGTCTGCCTTTCAACAAATGGTAGTTCTTATTTACTAAAGTTGTTCCTTTATTGTAGGCCATTTTCTACGTTGAAAATCAAAAGGAATATGAAAACAAAAAAGCCGCTAGGAAGAGGAGAACACAACTGTTGGGGAAAAAGATGAAACAAGCTATTAAGAGTCTGAATTTTCAAGAAGATGATGATACATCACGAGAAACTTTTGCAAGTGACACAAATGAAGCCCTAGCCTCTCTTGATGAATCACAGGAGGGACATGGAGAAACTAAGTTGGATGTAGAGGAAGACATTGAGGTTGACCATTCTCACGATTTGGACATTTTTTAGTACATGTTGAGGAATAATCCCTCCTACAGTGGTAATAAACCATTTCTACTGAATTGCTTTGTTTTACTTTGCACTGATAAACATGAAAATCTGGAGAGAAAGACCTGTTTTCTTGTTTTAAATAAAATTGAATATATGGGGAGATGAATGCAATTGATGAAAACATTTAGAATTTTCTCATGTCTGACAAAATATTCAAAAAGTATATAGCAGAGGATTTAATTTCTCGATCTGTTGCATGCGCTAATTATAACTAGTTAATAATCAGTTTTGTCCAGGTCATTATAACATGCCATTCAAAAGTTTTTTTTTTCCTATTTATCTTTGCAGAGAATTATGACTGGTTTCAAAACATTCCATTCGAAGATCCTAGTAAGACACATAAATTGTTAAACTATTTATTACAAATGCATCCAAATTTAGTTTGTCTGTGTCCTAAGAACTCTTAGGCTATTTTAAGGTTAGCGATTAAAATTCAAATAGGTTTATACTGATGGTTCTTCTCACTTATTTGTCCAGAAGTAAGTAAACAGCAGAAGCTTTTCAAAGATGTATTGATTCGTAACCTTAATATTGTTTTGTTTGTCTTTTTTTTTAACTTATTAACTTGGTTGTACACTAAATACTGAATGTGATCCATACCCGTGTTATTACTTACCATGGACATTTAAACTTTTTTCAATGTTAGCCTGCTTAAGACTGTTTTACCTTATATTAAGGAAGTATTTAAAATGTCATGTCTGGCCCTGGCTGGTGTGGCTTGTGGTTAGAGTGTTGGCCTGTGCACCAAAGGGTCGAGGGTTTGATTCCTGGTCAAGGACATGTATCTGAGCTGCAGGTTCGACCCCCGCCCCCACGTGCGGAAACCAACCAACCAATTGATGTGTCTCTCACATTGATGTTTTTCTGTCTTCCCCTTCCTCCCTTCCACTCTAAAAATCAATGGAAAAAATATCATACCTGCATGGATTTTCAGATTACTCATTTTGATTGAAGGAGTAAACCTTCTGAAGGTGTAGGTTACTTAAGATGTTCCAAAAGTTGACTATAGTTAACAAAATAGATTAAGCAAAAGCGTGTAAGAAGTGATTACAAATATTCTTTGCAGGCAATATGCTTGAACTCAACGGGTCCTGAAATACATGGTCATTGGAGTTGGATTTAAGGATCTAAGTGGGAAAAGAGAAAAGTGGTTATTGGTTGCTTTTTATTCATAAAGAATGCAAAAATATTCCCATCCTGATAAAAGGCTTACATTTACAAAAAGATCCAGATGCAATTTTCAACTACTCTGAAACCAGCAGGTCACACCTGACTGTAATAGTTTTCTTAGCTGAAATTGTAGGTGTTTTTCTTGAGATTAATTTATGAGAAAAGATTATCTGATGCATTTTGCATTGAACTGCCCCTTTAGTGGTTTATTTTCGTTCTGCCCATCTGTCTACTAAAAAAATGTGAAATAAAAGAATGCAAAAATAAAATTAGTTTTGGCAGTCCTTAATGAGATTCAGGTGACTTTATTTTTTAATCTCAAATATTCTTTCATAAAATTATAACCAAGGAAAGAAAAATATTTTAAATTGGTAACTGAATACTGGCCCTGAGATTGTTTGAGAGATAATATTAAAGGTATAGTACATTAGGAAAGACAACATTCAGAAATCTAAATGCCACGTGTTCATGCAAAGCTGATTTTTCTAGTGGGAGTTATGGTTTTTGAAGGGCATTAATGCCTGAGAGGCTACTTTATTAAATGGAGCCTTCCTCCCCCCCCCCCC